ATCTCTCACAATTAGAATTTGGAGGAATTGCAACAAAACCCTTTGCTGTTGAGGGAGACTCTGGAGCTCTTGTCTTTCAGGTCGATCCAAAGAGCAGTAAAGAGGAGGACGATAAATTATTTTGCATTGGAATGGTTGTGGGTGGGACCTCTTACTGTACAACTGTGGTAACTCCAATTGAATCTATTTTAGAATCTTTGAATGTAAAAATGCACGTTTTTCCCGAAGAATGTATGGAACAGTTATAACAACACCTCTGTATGTGAACTATTCATATTTTTTTTAATCTCCATTTATATTCTTATATATTTGTTGGGATGATAATTATCGATAGTCTGTGAAGACGGAGATGGTTATACGGATATAGTTCGATTTTAAATAAAAAAATATTTGTAAATATTAAAGCATTATAACAAGTACTTATTACAAAAAAAAATCAAATTAATAATAAAATAAGATTATTTAACATATTTTAAAGATTTTGTCAACTTTCAGACATTGTGACATTGCCGAATCTACATATCCGTTTTTCTTAACCATGCAATCTAACGTGAGTGATGTCATAGACGTAATGTTTGATTGAGCACAAGTTAGCCACTCCAGTCATAAAATACTTTTATTTCACGAAAGAAAATGGAAATAAGGAACAGTATCCAATATCAAAGTCAATAAAACAATACAAAAATAGGAGCAGAGCAAATACGAACCTCCAAAACATCAGAGGTAGGATCAGGTGCCATAGAGGAGAGAGCATCCCCTGCTGACCGGTCACACCCGCTGTGTGCTCCTTGTTATTATCGAGAAAGAACGGTAAATTCAGTGTATAAGTAACATTTAGACTAACAATTTGCGTGAGAAACGTTAATTAACTCTTGACCCAATGATGAATAAAAATCTATGTTTCATATAATGTTTTATATACAATCTTTTTACATTGTTGTGACAAATTTAAATTAAAATTGCAGTTGTTATTGATTTTTTAAAGTGTTAAGAAAGGTGTCGATTGGATCGGGATCGAACTCATGTTTTGATCGGGTTCGGATTGATTGGGATCGAGTGCTCTATTAGATTAATTTTGCGGAAACACGAGGTTGTATTCAATTTACCGCCACCTCCCATCTTCCCATTTAATACCAATATTTGAAATGGAAACTCTTAATTGTTGAATTTTTGTTGTATAGATTTTCCCTCATTGTATAAGAGTAATCATTTAGCATGCCCAGTGGCCTCCTTGATTACGCCACCTTCTTGTTACACAAACTTGGAAATTAACAATAGCTGGGATAAGCACTAAATCGCAATACATCATATCTAAGTCGAAACTATTCATTATTTGACCTTATCCCAGCTATAATTTACATGTTTGTATGTAACATTGTATATTTACATGTATGTGCTTTTGTTCACTTTCGTCATTTATCTGGTCAATAAATTTAACATTTTCACTCAAGAACCCATGTCTTCTCTAGTGTGTAAAGCGACAAGAACAAGCCATAGAAAGGCTTTTCATATTACGATATTTACTTTTATTAGTGGAAAAGATGTGGATATAAATGATTTTTCACCATATAAAGACATCACCACATACATGTACCGGAGAAGGGCTCCCAATTTTAACCTTTACTCGGCACTTGGGACCGTTGAGTGGTGATTATCTTGATCATCGTGCAATGGCCAACCGCAGTCTGTCACAGGGCCTCTGTTTTTAGCATCTTATCTGAAAGACCAATAATTTTCAATTCAAAATGCCGAGTGCTTAGCGAACAAAGAGTTACTTTTTTTTTAAATTGACTTACAGGTAAATTATGTCAGTCTAGGCCTGTATTTGAACTCTGGATTTGTCATGGATAGGGTAATGGTAAAAGCAGTAAAGAAAAGAATCCCACAAAAAATATTATTGCAGTTACATTTATAATCTTTTAATATGCATGAATTTTGTATTTCAATGATAGAGACTATCAGAGATGAACCTGAACCTGAGCTACAGTGTATAAGGCCATGTTTAAATAATGCTTATTGTTTGTAAGCATAATTACGTAGTAAGTACGTAACTTGAGTAATCCTTTCTGAATAATTGAATTTTCATGCAGTAGAAACATACATTTTTTTTACATTATGACCTGCTAAATGTTATTTGTGACGTCATGAAGCTGTGAATCGTCCCTTCTTCCTTTTAAAGTTTCAGAGAACATCGAATTACAGGAATTGTTCTTTTTTCAAAGCATTTTACATGATTACGGTCCTTAGATTTTTTTTCTTTTTAATTTTTATATGGTTAATTGTATATTTTGTTTTACTAAAATTCTTGTTCATTCATTTGTTATTTATTTAGGGAATGAAGCTTATTTCAACTTATGTTATACGATAAAACATAAATTTAAGCAGTTTACGCTTTATAAACTGCGAAGCGGTTTATAAAAAAGCGTAAACTGCCCCAAGTTATGTTATATCGTATAACATAAGTTGAAATAAGCTTCATTCCTTATAATTTAATTTCAATGTAGACAATAATACAATTTTTCAATTTTTTCCTTCGGAAAAAGGCTTCAAATATAGCATATTTTCAAAGTTAACGTCAAGCGGAGTAATTCGTTTTTGTCGTAACTCATTGTGACGTAGGCAAGTTATGTTATACAAAATGGATAAAACGGTTTAGCCACTCAAATGACATGTTACAACTGAAATTGAATTATATAATGGAAATATTTTGTTAGAACCTTGTGTATTGCGGGATTATAACTGGCGTGATCGACAACCCGAAATCGTTAACAAAGAAAATATTCTTTGTAAATGTTAAAAAGTAACTACATGTTGAGATAAAGATAGTATAAAATAATTTAGTTTTAAACAGTGTGTAGTTTTCTGTGTTCTCTGCACGTGTTGAGAAAAAAAAAAGGAAAAAAAAATACCAAAAAAAGAGACACTTTATAAAAGAACAAAAATCTTCTCTATTCATCAGTGCATTCTGCCAAACAAAGAGTTTTACTCATGATTACACCAGCTATTAACAAGAGAAACTTTCGACTGGTATTCAGTGAATTGTTCACTGATGAATAGAAAAGATTTTTGCCATGTGGCCAAGACCTTCATACACGACATCCGAGTAAGAAAATAAATTATTTACAAAGTGACATCTGTATCGTTACAGTAATGCAATGCATTTTACAACACTAAAAATAGCTACTTTTATGCGGCCCAAATGATCTCAATATTACAGTTTTTTTTTCAATTTAATTAGTTTTTGTTTTATAAAACTGGCAAATTATTATTTTATTTATTGGGTGGCCCAGATGTATATCGTCTCCTTTCAATTCAAAGTGTTTATTCACCACAGCGAAACATTGCCGTAACTGATCTAGTAGGCTTTGATAAGTCCATATTGACGTAAAGCTCCAATTCATTTTGGTTTTTAAAAAGACGGTCTCGTGGTAATTATCTGTTTTATTTCAAATACAATTGAAAAAGGGTTACCTTAGATTATTCCTTCCATTGATAGAACATTTGAAATTCAAATGCACGGTATGCAAGCTAATTTACGTTCCAGTGTCGACAACCTTGAAATGTACAATTATAAATGAAAGATCTAGAGTTTTCCAAATATATGCATATAGAGCCCCTTTAGAATTTAAATAAAATACAATGTCCGCACATGCACACGCGCCTATTTAGCTACAAAATATTTCGAATGAGACAGGCATGTATATTTCTATTTAAATATGATAAATGTGGACCGATAACACGTTGTTATATGCGAACAGACATTTATTTATTTATTTCTAGGTTCCCATTATTTTTCAATAAATCAGAACACATTTAACAGCTTCCTTACGTTTTTTAAAAATATATACATGCATGCAAGTAATGAACATAGAATATGCACCTTTTATCAGATTAATCTTGAATGTACAAGTGTAAAATGCAAGAGGGCTGAAATATATGCATGTCGAGCATTTGAAATAAAGAAAGTACAAAATCCACGGTCTTTCTGTTTCCACTGTCTTTGCAACAAATAAAAAATGCCTGTTCAAGTTAAATCAATTCTATTTGAATAACAGCTTTATTTCAAAATTAATAACTGGTCGGCTGATTTGAACATGAGTTGTGATTGTGCCATTTGAGAAACAGAGCGGCACCTACATGTAGAAATCAATTTACCCGGCGTCCATTTGATAAAAATTTGTTCAAAACCTTTTACAAGAAAAGAAGAAATACTAAGTCTTGTTGAATTTAAGTCAACATTTACATGTAGATATATCGACAGGATTTTTACTCCTCCATGGCACCTGATCCAACCTCTGGTGTTTTCGAGGTCCGTGTTTGCTTCGCTCCTATTTTGTGTCATGGACCACAGAGCTCGAGTACTGTTCGTTATCTCCATATATTTCTCTTGTCTCTCAGTTCGTTTTTTTTTGTCCGATAAGAAATTGTACAATGTAAGGGTTTTTGAACATAAACTAGTTTTTCTCGGTACAATGGATGGATTTTGAAAATTACCACGCTTACCAATATCTTAAGGCCTCACCTTGATCTTTGACATACTTTTCAAAGTAGTTCATTTGGCCAAAATGCAACTTATTTTGTTCATTTAAGACGTGAATCCGCGCTATTTAGTATGTGAATTGTTTGACAACTTGCTTCCTTTATTGCAAAACGTAGAATTTTTTTACTGCCGGCGCTGTAAAACTTAAAATGTGTTGACAATCTTAGTCTATGTGGAGAAAATTAAACGTTACTGAATCGTTTACAATTCCTTCTGAAAAACATAGACAAATGCTGTCATTTACTGATATTTACTGTCCCTATTGTTCTCACTCTAGGGAAGGCTGCGGTAGTGTGAAAATGTTTGTTTGTTATAATACTTACTTTTTATTTACTTATCTAAGTTTGTCGTTAAAAATTGGGAATGTCAGTACGCTTTTGACTTAGTAGTGTAACTGCAATGAACCATAGCAATACGTAAGACATCTAAAATTAAAATCTTTCCTCTAAAGTTGAAGGACAGTTGAACGCGGTTAGAGTAGTCCCCACAGAGAGCTTGTTTTCTATGTTAAAGTAAGTATAAAAGTCACAGTAACCTGATATATTTCATGATAATCCTGTTCACAGATTTCCAAACGTATATATATTAAGAAGTAAGTATCTCATTTTAATGTAATTTTTAATTTTTTTTTTACTTTCGCTTTGAAATACAACTACACTCTGTAAGTTGAAATCTCTTTTTTAGAAGGCAATCAAAGCTTAATATAACCTTTCGAGATAGTTAATTACATCATTTTGTAAATTATATGCATTCATGCTGCAAATCTCTATCGCACTTTTATGAATTAAAGAATGATGCATCTTTGTGGTGTCGTACGACAAAACCTTTTTATTTGCAATTGACATACACACTGCATGACATACAGACTGCATGAAGTTAATGGCGCATCAATATACTTATGCTTCTAAAAAATGTTTTGGATTAGTAATGCGTCTACAGTAATTGAGTTTATACACATTAATTCTTTTAGTGTAATTTTACATTGTAGTTCCGCATCCCTAAAACATGCATTGAATAGATACACTTGAGTAGACAGCATAATCAATATATTCAACTTAAAAATCCTTGTGCTTGTCAAGAGAAATAAAACAGAATATTGAATGAACGACACACGAAATTTCACTATTTATACTCATTTTTAATTTAATATTTGATTTCCTTTAAAAATGTGGAATAAAAAAATAACTTAACCAGTGATAAAAGTTTCAATAGTTATATAAAAAAAATTGTCTTCTCATAAATTCATTCATAATACATTCATAAAATGTATTATACGACGATTTTCAAATCCTCTAATGTATGACAGTCTTTTCTCCATATTCTTTACAAAAAAAACTGGGTAACTACGTCTAAGAATGTCTGCATTTAAAAAAGTAACATAACCAGACCCTCAACAATTAAAGTATATATCGTGTAATTTCCCAGTGTTTTTAAATTTCAGCTTCCATATTTATTGTGCAGCAAACACTTTCAAAGTATAGTGTCATGATTATGTAATATAAATGCTCAGTATCAAATTTCCACTTCTTCAAATTAAAAAAACATGTAAATACAATTATGCGTAGATTATTTTTTTTTGAAAAGTAGATCAAAGGCAAAGGTCCAATGCACTGGAATGCGGGAATTTTCCGTACCGATTAAAGGCATTTAAACAGTGAAGAAGCTACGTATAAATGACACAGACTGAATTTTCTAATGCCGTAAATATGTTGTTTATCGGAAGAATTATTATTTTTTTTTTAAATTAGGGCATAGTTCGAGTTCCAAGATCTTGACGTTGATGACCATGGTATTTTCTAAATGCTCTACTACCAAGTAATATTATACATTTATCGACTTCTGTGTAGGTCGATATGTGGTTATAAGGACTCCTGGCAATTGATATTAACCGAGGAACAGAAAGTAATAGCGACCGAGCCTGCGTGGTCGCTATCATTTTCTATGTCTGAGGTCAATATCATTTTTTTTTATAATTCTTAATAATGATATAGGATGTGACATACGTGCAGACGGACGGACAGCAAGATAGTTGCTTGTTGAGATTCCTAAGTTTCAATTAATTTGCTTAACGTGTGTTTCGGCACTCAAGTTCTTTGTAACAGATCACCACCACTAGGTTTTCTGACGTCAGTATAAATTTGCATTTAAATTATCTGTTTACTTTATCCACTGATGAATGGGTCGCAATGCATTCTGGGCTACAAGTACTCAGCTGTGTTGAAAATAAAGGGCAATTTGAATGCTGTAGATCACTAAATTTTCGCGACACCTTATTTTCGCGAGATAGTAATTGACTCTTGATTAGTGAGACAAAGTTTTCGCGAATTGTGGTTATTGCTTTATATAATCTTACGGAATGCTATTATACGCGAGAATTAAATTTTCGTGCTGATAAAGCAGAGTTTTTCACGTGTTATAAGTATCCATTGTTTTAGACAGCAATACAAGTTGCGCAGTTATTATCTAACCCCTCAATTGTATCAAAAAGTTTTTCATGTACATGCAAACGCGAAAGCGTTTGTACGGAATTCGAAGCAGTTGTTAATCATCTAAAATAATTCAAATATTAAATGCTAGCACGGAATAATGCCTTTGGAGTATAATCTTTCAATATCATACATATGAAGTGCTAAGAAACTTCAACGGGTTTTCCGATGACAAAGTAATTATCATGCAGTTAACCTACGAAAACCACGTGTGGCTATGAAATTGTTAACACATATTAGTCTGTAATGCTTTGGGCTTATTAATTTGACTGGAGAACGGGTGTTTCAAAAACACGTCACTTTTTGAAAATTGCTTTCCGTATTAGGTAGTGGTCTCGACCGGTGTAAAACAATGAAGTCCGTCATATAAATATATTATATGTTTAATTGTACATGACGAATGAAAATATATCTTTTATATATCGTGTCCGGATAGGGCTATTTGCTAAAGCTCAATAGCGCTTCACGCCGTCACGGTAACACACAATACGCCATCGCAACATTGAACAACACGCTGTCACGCTAACACGAGTTTGCACAACACGGGTCGACCTAACACGAGTCTGCGAGTTGTGTGTGAGCGCAGTGCGACAGCGTCTTGTGCTTACTCGTGTAAGCGTGACGGCATGTTTTTGTGTTGGCGCAACAGCGTGTTGTGATAACTCGTAATAGAGTTACAGTGTGTTGTGTGTAAGCGTGACAGCATGTTGCGCGACCTCGTGTTAGCGTGACAGCGTGTTGTTCAATGCTGTGATAGCAGGAAGGCTAGATGTACGTTAACGCGTGTTTTTATAATGAAGGCGACGTTGAGCTTTAGAAAATGGCCGTATCCGGACACGATAAATATGTTTGATATATTCAATCTTTAGGACAGATGATACAACACTTTTTTTGGAACTTATTATTAGACTTAATATCAAGTCACAGGTTTAGAATGGTGTAGAACTTTTTTAAAATTTTTTCCTCCTAAGACCTCGAAAATGAAATAGATCCGGAAAAAATAGTTAATACTTTATCATATACCAAATAAGGACAAATCTCACTTAGTTCAAATGATTACAGATGTCAGAAAAAGTTAGAATATGTTACCTTGGTGCTAAAAATGTAAAATAAACTTTAGAAAAAGTTTCGCTGAGGAAAAGCAAAATAAGTTAAACAAAAATCAGAAGAATCACAGGCTAATTTTTACCATTTTGTTCATTCAGGAACTTTGTCCTTTAACTCTTTACAACTTGCTGATCTGAAACGCAACATGCACTTAATGTTTACGTTACAGAATATGACGTTACTATTTCCCCGCAAGCACTTTTTAGCAAGGTACAAGTTTCTCTAAAGTTAAGCGTAAATAATATCATGACGTAATATTTTAATATTAAGATAACTTTTCTTATTTTATGAGATTTCAGGAAGTATTAAAAAAAGAAGGAATTTGGCAATAAAAGGATGATTAAATGAACTTTTTAAAGGGCGTGAAAATGCGTGATTGCGAAGAAACGGTAAATGCGTGATTTTGCGTTAGAAATAGGAAATAGTATATGCGTTAAAATGTATGAGTGCGGGGAAGGGGGTAAATATATTCTTAAAAGTAGACATATATTTCCATTTCTAGTTCTTTTTTTCTGTAAAAACTCTTTGAAAGTTAGCGGAGTTGATTTCTTGATAATTCTACCGGAAGGCAAAGTAGGCACGTTGAAAGTTCAGGCAAATCTTGTGCACATATGTCTTTGTGTCTGACGCTAAGGAAGCCAAATTTGCATGTAAATCTCGTGCAGCTGCCTTTGTGTTTGACGTCAATGGGCGAGGACTATTGAAATTGGCAATGGAGTCCTCGTGTAATTTAAACCTATTACTACATTTTAAGTATAAATTTACAATTTTATTTCACTTTCGTGTAATTTAAACCTACTACTACATTAAAGTACAAATTTACAATTTTATTTCACTTCGCCCGTTATGCAAATTATCCCATGGTTCCCACTATGATTGACGCCCGGGCATACAGTACCAACTAGACAGTGATTCCTTAATTATTCCTATAATTGCTTCAATCAGAATGGTATCTCTTATTAGATTTTTTTCCTAAACAACAGTTTGCCGAGAAATTTAACACATATTTTTATTGTCCTAAAGAATGATGCAAAAAGTAATGTATAATTCAAATATTTTTACAATGCGCAAAAATGTTTTATGCATAATATATCTTGCAAAATTATAATGCCTCGTATACTTCCCTTTCTTTGAGCTCTAGCTAATAATTAGAAATGTGGTTCATTTCTGTTTCAACTTATCCTTCCCATGTAGCTTACACTGTAGATATATTCTGAAAAAATTGAATACATATACATGTGAATGATTAGTTTATGAATTTATTTTTTTTTAAAATGAAATTTTAATTCTTAAAAATACCTATCACTTTTTATGCAAAGATATAGATAGTTGCAGGCATTTTTTTTAAATATCCTAAACTCTTAGGTTATTTCAAAGGTTTTGTTGACATTGACACTAGAAATGTCTGCAAATGAGTATGGAGTTGTGGTGGATTCATGTCCACTTAGTGAGGTGAAAACAAGAGAGGCGGCGAGCAGACTGAATTGCAGTGTTGATGAAAACGGACGGAGTCGGTATGTTTGTGTTCCCAATCAAGACCTGTCAGCCCTCGTTGAGTTTTGTTATACAAAAACAATTGTTGGACTCTACCAAGCAGGTGCGATCTCAATTTACAAGATGTTTGTTCTTTTATTATTATTTCATTCTCTGATTATTATAGGTAGTTTTATGCAATCATTTCTTCTTCTTCCTTACAACCAGGTAATTGTCTAAAAATGATTGGAAATGGATTTCTGGATAAGATTAGCTGTAAAAACTTTTTAGAGGGATGTCCAGCAGATCATTTCAGAAGCACAGATCTATTCCAATGTAAGGAATAATATCTAATAGCATTATACCGAAATTTGTATTGATGACATCGCATTATCTATGTAATTAGAGTGATTTTGATGAACTATTACTTAGATCCAGCTTGCCACCGCCTGAACACAGACAAGAGATGTTTCCTTTTAGATCCCACTTGCTCTCCGTGAGTGCTTTTCTTAACTATCTCTGAGTTAATTTTTCATATGTAAATATCTAATCTAATGTAATTGATTACATGAAGCCTACACTATTGTTTTTTTTTTACATTTTTATTATCATTTCGAAGCAAAGGCAACTACATTTTACCGTCAAAAACATACTTTAATGAAATACTCTAATTTACTTCCCCTATTTATTTTATAGTAGCTCAAAATCAATGTACTCTAACATGTTTCCTTGTTATTCAAAATTTTTTTCGCTAGCAATTTTCTATTCGTTATTTAATTTTTACTGCATGACTGTGTTTTCACAAGAGGAGCAACCGTGAATTCGAAGTGCTTAACTCTTATCATGACTACAAATTGTATCAGTAACACATTCTACGACTTCATCTTTTTCCGATAAGTACTGCTTTTCTTATGAAGCTAATTTCTTTTATTAAACAAAATTTTTAGTTCTTACTTAAAGTAGGAAACCATGTTACAATTCTAAATTTGGACGTTTAGATTTTCACAATTTATTGTGCAATTATACAGAGAATATGACAAAAGGCATTATGTTGTGCTTTAAAGAAAATCAAATGTTTGATCCAATTTTCACTATGTTGTTTTACGTCCCTTTCGATAATTTTTGACTTATGTAGAGACGTCACCATGTATCGGTGTAGTGTTTCAAATTTTGACCTTTACTTGGCACACGGGACCATTGAGTAGTGTGGGTTCTTTACCGTGCAAACGCCTGCTGTAACAAGAGACCGCAGTTTTTGAGGCCTCACCCAAAGGGTTCAAAACTTCCAATCCAAAGTACCTAGCGCATGGCAAGAAGTAGTTTTAACCAATTTTATTGACTTTGGTCAGTCGCAGCTAAGATTTGAACTCACAACTTCCCGATCACCGACTGAGCGATCGTGATCGGTATTTTTATTATCTTAAAATCTAAATACGTTTGAATTAAATCCTTATATTTTACAACAGATTAGTACATTTCATATGAATTTAATGTTGAAACATTGCTACAAAATTTTGGCGCATTATGGCGCTTACTTAGTACGTTATGACAGTATTCCACGAACTATCCAAACAATCGATTCTTGTACAATCTATTTTATCAAACTACTTATTCGTTATTTTAATTTTGTAACATTAGAACAGTCTAAATGGATGCAGCGCCTTCAGTTTTGGAAGTTTATATATTATAGCAAAACCAATGAAACAGAACAAAATTCTGAATTTGGAAAAGAAGGCGCAATCATTGCTGTCACTGTATCTGTCTTGATCCTGATGCTTCTAATAATCTTAACCATCGCCTGTGTGTTATGGAGACGCAGAAAGAGAAAAAATCGGAACGAGAATCGAGGTATTTAAATTGGTTGCTTACTACTATTTTAGTATATCTCTCTAATTTTAGACCTTTTCATTAAACATAGGATGATTTTTATTTTCCTTAAGCAAAACTGTTTTCCACATTTACTATTCGCTTAAACCATAGTCAAGCTTGATACAGAACCACACAGAGAAAAATTTAAAAGTTATTACATACCGAAAAACCCAAAAATCTTTAAACTGCATTGTAACAATTTATCGTAATAATACAGATTGACCAGTTGATTGTATATTGTTTAACGTCCCTTTCGAAAATTTGTTACTCATATGGAGACGCCATCACTTGCCGGTAGAGAGATAAAAAATTTGTCCTATGTTCGGCACTCGGGACCATTGAACAGTGAGGGATATTTTTCGTGTCAGCACCTACTGCGCACGGGACCTCGGTTTAAAAGGTCTTATCCAAAGGACCCGTCTCCACGTTTCACAGTGTGATTTGAACCCTCGAGGAAAGACCAACTCCTTACTTCGCAACTCTAGAGCAGACATTCTAACAACTGCACTAAACGGGCGATGTACTAATATGAAAGATTTTAATTTAATTTTCAACAGATTTCTTTTCAAAGCATGTCCTCATTGTGATTTGGGTCCCCAGGGGTGTTAAAAGTTACCAAAATCAATTTGAGGAAAAATCCTTTTAAATCGTTATTTCGCTCAAATCAAATTTCTACAGCTGATCGTAAAAATCATACCCAATAATAACATGTCCAAATTGTTAAGATTATAGCTATTCGGCTATCTATAATTGGGTCATTGTAAATATAAACAGTTTTTTTAAAGCATGGCCATATTAAAAACAAAAAAAAATATGTTGTTCAGAAACCGTTGGGCTAATAAAGCTCGTTACAAATATAAAGAAAAAATGAACTATTATCTTTGTTGAAGGGACTGTTTTCCTTTTTTAAAAAAAAAAATCTGAATCACGCAACAACAAAAATATGTTCCTTTAAAAATTCTCTTATGATGACACCACAAATTATAATATGATTGTCTCAGAAGCCTTGGGTACCGTTTGCACATGTATTAAGAATCAAGAGAGAGAGAGAGAGAGAGAGAGAGAGAGAGAGAAGATGGATGGCACATCTAGATCTGTTTCATTCTTGAATATTTTACTAGAAAAAAAACTTTAATGGCAGTCTTACAACCAAACTCTAAGAAAAACTTGATGACTTTAATTTTTCTATCGTCAACTTCTTTTTCTTATGCAGCAATATACCTTTATAACCACTGCCTGCGGAGTTTATATCTCTCGTATGATTTGATACGCAAGAACATGCTCTCCGTAACAAAAATTTCTAAAACGAAGTAGATTTTAACAAGCAAGTCGAGGAAAGCATATATATCTTATAGATATATTTATTTTACAAATAAACTAAATGCATGGATACGGTGAGCAAGGATGCTTGTCAAAAGAATTGAAATTCAAGGTGACAAATAGAATAAAATTTGTTATGGGTGTTTTACAACATTTGTTAAACAATAAACAACTAAGTCGTGTTCTTATGCTTTGCAAAAAATTCATACTCTCCTGCGAGAAAATGCTTTTACCATTCACCTATGCTGAATCGTTACAGTAAATATAGTTATTTAAAGGTTTGATTTAAAAAATTGCATACTAAAAAGAATTTTATTTTTATAAATGGTCAGATAAACACGCAATTAAGGTTATCCGATCCAAAGGTTAAAAAACTAGCAGTTAAGTAATCAAAAATACTCATTAAGATATCTTTAAATCCACAAAGTAATGTAAATTTGTCCGCAGGATTTAAAGTTAATCAAATTTTTGGGAAAATTGTCAGTTCTCCAATATATAATTATCCAGAAAAAACGAATAGAATTATCAGCTTTGCATTTGCAAATTGATCAACAAAAATATTTTAGGTTAAAAACAACAGGTATCCAGGCATTCAGGGAAATTTTCGCGATTTTATACTTATTTGGAATTTCATTTCTTCTATTCCCTTCTTGTATGATATAATACATGGTCTAAAAGAATTTTGCTATCATTGCAAGACATCACAAATCACTTTTTTATATCATGTTAATAAGTATTAGTATCTAACGCTCGATTCATAAAAATTTTATTTCTCTAAAACTGTATTTAATTTTTTTTTCTTTTATATGGATATAAAGTAACTTTTTCTAAGAACTTTCAAAGACTTTCATAAACCTCAAATAATAAAGATGAATAAAATAAAAACTAAAATAAAATTGCGGCATGAAAAGATTTTATTTTCATACCATGTAATTTTGCTATCATTGCAAGATATCACAAATCACTTTTTTTTATATCATGCTAATAAGTATTAGTATCTAACGCTCGATTCAAGAAAATCTTATTTCTCTAAAACCGTATTTAATTATTTTTCTTTTATATGGATATAAAGTAATTTTTTATAAGACCTTTTAAGACTTCCATAAACCTTAAATGATAAAGATGAATAAAATAAAAATTAAAATGAAATTGCGGCATGAAAAGATTTTATTTTATGCCATGTATTGATGCTTTTTAAAAAAAATTAAATACTATTTTTTAGTTATCTTTCCTGGCTGATGATAGGTAACATGTATCTTTTAAATAGACAAACATATTTTGTCTTTTTATATTACATGTATACCAGTCTAAATTCCGCAAAAACACGGGAGAAGTTTTACAAGTATCGACAGAAGAATTACATTGCTTCATATTATACGTTTTATTGGTTGTTATGTACAATTTAACGTCCCGTTGAATACTTTATTTATAATTACACATTTGTGTATTAAAAACTTGAATTTGAACTTTACTAAAACCAACTAGACATCTAAATCACTGTAACAATCTCTCTTAATACCTGCTTATAGTTATTTTTAAAGAAACATTAGACTACTTCTGGAATTCCACATTTTATTAACAGTTGAGTTTTACCAAAAGACCCTGATGTATAGTAAACAATTTTTACCAAACATTCCATCTTTTCTTGTTACTTGTCAGGATCGCGACTTATTTCGAGATGCTTCGAATTTTACAAACAGTGTAAATAGGTCAGTATATTCAACGATTATTATTTAGTTTAGTTTGGCATCATCACAGGACGTTATAGAATTTTTGTGCAAATTTACAGAAAAATCTATGTAGTCAAAACGATCAAAATAACCAAAGTGTTTTTATAGTGTTACATTGATAGGACTTATATAGGTAGTACCTGCTGAACAATCTTGTAATATTTATGCATAATAAAATATGGTTTAAATTAAAAACGTTTACAGTGTTACAATTTATGCAATTTAAAACCCCAACGCGTGACTTCTTATTAAAAATAATATTCTTCAAATGCCACAATACGTCCATACATGTAATTAAGGGGTTGTGAAAGATTTATTCAATATACCCTAGTCTAGAACTATTTATATTATTTATAAATACGAGGGTTGATCTAAAAGTTCGTGGAATTTCTTTATATTTTACAAATGTATTTATTTTTAAGTGAAATTGGTTGAAAATTTCAATTGAGAATATAGAACCTTTTTGAATATATTAAATTAAAAAAAAAATTTACAAATTTATTATAGTAACTCTTTGGCAGTTGCCATAGAAACGGTTGTTTGGAAATGCGGGGGAAACATTTATGCGTTTAGTATCATTTTAATTCTTAATGCGTGAAATGAGAATAAAACCGTCCTATATGGTATATAAAACGAAAATTATGTCATTATTACGATTTTTTGATCTTTTATAAAGCTTTGTGTGAGAGTTTTATTGATTTTACTGGATATTTAGTTCATTAGTTGATGATTTATTGTTCATCTTTAAGATGTTAGACAAAGTCAAATTTCGGTCACGTCCTAAGTTTTGTGAAAATCCTGGGATCACTCTATCTTGAACGCGTATATTATTGACGTATGCTGAGGAGAAAAATGCATTTAGTTACTGGTTTTCCAGTTGCATAAGAAATTTAAGAAAAATAGAACTTCGATGGACGTTGATTTAAGGCGTGGCCATTTTAGGAGGCTCTGTTCTAAGTGTTTATCCCCCTAGACAAATTAAAAGCGTCAATTTAGGTTGTCGGCTGACGTACTGCGAGAGGATACCCAGGCTTTTCTTGAGAAAAAATGCAGAAAAGGGCGGCCCTTTGTAAAAATACGTATTGGAATTGGACATTAGGATGAGATGCTTCTATAATGTGACGTTACATATCTAACTTGATGTAACGTCGAAGTCTCCCCCGGGTTTCACAACTATCCATTTTCAGAAAGCTCGTGTGACCTTACTGGTAATTGGAAAGTGATGAACTTTTCCAATATTGTTGTATTATGACTCTATATCATAAATATGCCTGTTGTTTGCTTTTACCAAATCACGATAATTTTTTAGAAATTCCACGAACTTTTGGATCAACCCTCGTAGTCAGCATACGTAGAATAAATTAGCACTTGGAAGTAAAACAACGAAACATGAAGTGTTATTGAGAAATAGTCTTTTTTAATATTTTCAATTCAGTTGCCTTGAGATAACATATAAGCAATTTGTCTAATTTTTCATGTTTTAGGCATGGAAGATGAAGAAGTAAACATCCCTTTGACAAGTCCTGAGATTGGTAAGAATCAAATATAAATATTTTCAAAGGCAGAAAGCTTCATAGAAAAAAAAAAACAGAAACAAGAACATTTTTTCATAAAGAAAGTAATGTAAAATTTCAATCAAAGAATGATAAGTTAAAGGTAATGCCTGAACAAAACACATTGGAAAATTTTATCTGACAGTGTGTATTTTCACTGGCACAAGGCTTATCAAGACTGGATGAAACGTTTATGCTTTCATTTGATATTGAATAAAATTAAAGCAATAAGTAAACCTTGATCTTGATTGGACCGAGAGAAAAATTTCACGCAGGATATCCTTTGATTTGGGATATTGAGAGTAAAGTAATTGACGTATTTGTGATTTGGACTTCCAGATCAATTAATGCCACATATCAATACGTCTTGATTATAAATTTCAA